TGATCAGGGCCCGGGCGATGGCAATGCGCTGCTTCTGTCCACCAGACAGCTGCGAGCCACGCGCTCCAACCTGCGTGTCCAAGCCGGAGGGAAGATCGCTTATAAAGTTGCAGTTCGCTTTGCGGGCTGCCAGGACAATCTGGGCCCTGGTTGCCTCGGGTTTTCCATACGCAATGTTCTCGGCGATGGTGCCAGAGAAAAGAACAGGTTCCTGAGCCACCATGCCTATGCGCCGCCGCAACGATTTGATATTCATCTGAGAAATGTCGACGCCGTTGATTGTGATGGAGCCTGCAGTGGGACTGTAAAAGCGCAGAAGCAAGCTGGCGACAGTCGACTTGCCACCACCAGAGGGACCAACAACGCAAACATTTGAGCCCGAAGGAATCTCAAAATTCAAACCGTTGAAGACATTGACGGCGGGTCTGGTGGGGTAGGCGAAAGAGAGGTTGTTGAACTTGATGACGCCTTGTGCCGACTCAACCTTACTGCCCACCGTCTGAGAAATGGAAGGGTGTCTGTCCTGCAGTTCAAAGAGACGACTTGCGGCTCCGACACCCTTCATCAGCTCAGAATAGAAGGATGACAGACCGAAGAGACTGGAACCAGCAAACGCAGTGTACATCATGAATGAAGTCAGATCTCCAACCGACATTGCCCCCGTTCGGACGTAGTTGCCACCAACAATAAGCATAGCTAGGATTGTCATATTCCCGGCCCAGCCAGTCGTGGCAAAGAATGTCGCTGCAATCGTCGATTCCTTGCGACCGAGAGCGAATATCCGGCGCACCTGCTTGTTGTAGCGATTGATCTCCTGAACTTCGCCAACGAAAGCCTGACTGGTCTTGACGTTGCCCAATCGCTCTTCAGCAATCTTGGTAAGTGTGCCGAGATTCTTCTGAATACCCTTGCTGACGTTTCTGATGGCGCGACCATAGAAGAAGGCGCCAACGGCAACGGGAGGCAGCATGACGAGGAGGAGACCTGTGAGACCAGGGCTGAGCCAAATCATGGCAATGAAGCCTGCTCCGCCACTGAACAAGGACCGCAGGCCATCGCTGATATTCTGGGTAATGGACTTGCCCACCACGACGGTATCAGAGCTGAGCCGGGAGATCAGATCTCCCACGCGGTTGGCGTCGAAGAATTCAGCGTCCTGAACGTAGGTTCTTCTGTACAGCTGCGACCTCAGGCGGGCAACAACCCTCTCGCCAATGATGCGAAGAAGAATGATACGGCCAAAGTTGGCCATGGCGCCAATCGTTAATATAGTGCCGAGACCAATGAAAAAATGCGGAAGGGTCAGACCGAAGAGGCGAGCGTCCTCGGCGGGGTCCTTTGTGACGATGTCCAGGATGCGGCCCACGGAAAATGGTATGGACATGGTCACGCTGGAAGAAACTACCAGGAAGACAATGGCCACGGCTAGCCATTTGAGTTCGGGGCGTGCAATCTTGATCAACCGCCAGACTTCATCGAAACCTGCCTTGCCGGAACCCTTTCCTTCTTTCGACAATTTGGCACTCAGGTTGACCTGGGCAGCCTGAGCAGCCCTCTCGCTCTTTTGAAAATCATGTTCCGGGTCATGCTCAGGTTCTGCCACCGGCTTCTGGGCTGCATCTGGATGTTGGCCATGCTTCTGGAGCTCCCTGTATACCGAGCGACTATGAGAAAATGAGCGCAACAGGCTGCCCAGCCCGACGAAGCCAGCTTGTCTTGGTGCGAAATATGGTCGGCGTAATGTTATAGCATTGGGAAACGCGGCTCGGCGGCGCGCGCTTGTTTGTTCGTTTGTGGTCGGGGTTGTTGCCGTTTGAACCTGTCGAATTTGCGGCAGCAGTGGGTGCCATCGATTTGCCAAGGGCGTACGACTGATGAATATGTTGGGAGAGCCAAAAACCGAGGCACCGCAGAGTGAAGTGGCGGCGCGTTGGGGCAGCTGCACAGCTGATCGAGCAGCTCCCGAAACCATGATGAGGCCGTCTTAACGGGGTCTAGACGACGAGACGAGGAGCATGTTCCGTGTCACGGAGGTGCTGCGCATTGCGGGCCAGAACAGGTCGTACGGTCAGCGGCGCGAGTCGAGGGGTCAACGGACCTCTGACGGGATGGTGCTCGGCAGAGTTAATTGATCAAAGTCGAGGTTGAAATGAGGCACTTGGAGATTCCGTCATCGGTATTTGATCGAAAAACGCTTTGGGGGCTAGGCCAGGTCATGACCACCTGCCAGCCCGCCCCCCGAACCCCTGCCACTTGCGGTAGGGGAGCCTTTGCGGCACAACCTAAGTTCGGGTAGGTACATTTGTAAGAGACCCAAGCACATATCCTACTTACCTCCGAGCTGTGTCGGTCGGCAACATTCGGCCCGCCAAAACTTATCTTCTCCGATACTTTGCCCATTCGCACTCATCCGACTGAATCCCGAGCACTGTCTAGTCTCGTCACATGTAACTAGGAGCGCCTCCAGGCAAGAAGTCCTGCAGCATAGCATTTCGACCCCTGCATCCCGTTTCTCTTCGTAGTCTTTGTTGCATTCTACAAAATCCCACTCTCTGCAGTTGCCCTACACTATATGATCTGACATACGGAGCCCCCCCCCCCCTAGTTCAAATGAGACGACACGGGTTGCGCATCTAGCCTGGAGCCGACTAAAGAGCAATGCACTCCCATGTGCATACCCCATCTCGGCTTCTTCCGACAGGGCGAAATAATGGAAAACTAAACCTTGCATATAGTACAAGCAACTCACCAAGTGACCACCAAGCTCTGCCTGTTTGGTGGTCCTGGCTGCTCTCAAGCCCCATTACTATCTTTGCGGAGCATCTCTGCCACGTCCGCATCAATTCCGTCATCTGCCCCAAGGTCTGGAAACTCATCACTTTCCACCCGCCTCCTCTTATTGGAGCCATTCGTCGAAACCGGCAGAGACTGATACTGGCTGGCCAGATTCGACAGCATCTCCATGCCGGACGCGGGAGGCCCCGCATGGGGACCATTCAAACTAGGTCCTGGTGATTCTGTAGCAGTGGCCTGGCGAAGGGATATGTCCGACGTTCCAATGCTCTGACCGTCAGTGATGCCCAAGCCAGCCTCATGGCGATCCGGCGGTGGCGGCGTAAGCTCCTCTACCTCCGGCCGTTCCGGCTCGGGGCCGGGGCTTTGCGTTGGGCCGTCACGTAAAGCCCCCGAGCTTTCCTGGCTCGGCAACGTCCGCATAATGGCATTTTCGACCTCGCGTCTCTTCTCCTCTGTCTCTGTCTTCCTGCTCGTGAGAGTCGTCAGCTGCTCCTCCTCCTGAGCTAAGATCGTGCGGCTAGTGCTGAGCAACTTCTCGAGCTCGCTGATCAGCGCTCTGCGGGCCTTGACCGAGTCGGCTACTGCGCCCTCTGCACTCGCTAGGCTTCGAAGCAATCCGTTAAGGCGCGCAGCATAGACCGGGGCTGAGGGTGTTGCTGCCGACGGATCATGAAGCTTGTCCCAGTCTTGGTCTGCGGTGCCAAGACTCGTCTTCGTTGGCAAGCTGGTTTTCTCCAGGTTTTGTGAGTGCACCACGAGCCCTGCAAGGTCCGCTGGTACGCTCGATGCGTGAGATCCGAAATTGCTCTTAGGAGCCGATTTAGATCGCTCCGCGTCTGCATCATGTTAGTCTTTGAAGGCATTCAGCTTCCTAAAGAAAATAAAGACTGACCTTGCATGCGCGCTTCGATCGCCGCCTGAATCCCAGGCTCGAAGATAGCCCTGTCAGCCCAAACTTCGACGACCCTCCTTAATTTGCCTTGGATCTCAGCCGGTGCTCCCTTGTAGGCCACTGCCAGGGCTTCGGCTATGATGGGTGCAAAAGCCAATACAAAATCTGGCCTATGTCGGGCCTTTGACTGCTGGGTTACCTCTGTTCCCGGATTCAGCTACATTGCCTCATAGAACGGAGGATGGTCTTCATGAGACGAGGGGTCTTGCTCATACCATTCGCGAGATAGACGAGGCTCAGCCTTTTGGTGCTGGTGGAATCCTTGAGTCTCTGGAGCCAGATCTGGGCTGTGCGCTCCGCATGGCGCCTATTTCCATTAGCTAGGTCAACTGGGTATTCCCCGACAGGTGATGTACCTATGAAACATGATCCACTGGGACGCCGTAGCTATGCTGTCGTGGCTCTCATTGAGAGATGACAGCCTCGCCAATACAGCATCATCACTGAATGCCATCCTTGAGGCTGTAAAGCTGGCGCTCGGAGCTTCACTAGTCAGGAACTGTGCGGCGGAGTCGCAGAGAATATGAGTTTCACCCTCGTAGTCGCAAGATTGAGAGAGCTTTCTTCAAAAAGCTGGTGAAAGCGGTAGCGAACGTTTGTCAACTGCCCTGTTAGGTGGTGTTGCGTGTTGTTGTTGACCTGGGTCGGACGAGGCGTGATCTTTATTGATAGCGGCAATGCTAGATGCTACCAGAGCAACGACGCGTGTCTTTATCGTCCAGACCAGAAGATGCGGCAATGGAACCCTGGGTGTCTCAATTGGAAGCAAGTTTGTGTTTGCGTGATGATTGAGTTCAATAGGAGGGCCAAATGAAACTGCAAGTACAACAGCGCGCTTGATTGTTGATGCGACTGAGGTTCAAGTGAACTAAGTCGATAGTCGTTGCTACAAGGAAAATGAGTGCATCTATCGGGGTTGCTGTTACTTCGGGGCTGTAATTTGTCATTCAAGGCCATACGCCATGCACGTAAGCGACGGCTCCATGAATAGGCCAGCTGGATCCCAACCAGCGTGCGGTACCCGTGATTGCCTTGATTGATACCTACCTTATGCCTCTATCGCCCCTTCCGTCGTATTCAATCTGACAGGCACTGAATATCATCGCCAGTTGGTCCTTATTGACCCAAGCTTCCACAATCAACCATCTACCTTTGCGATCCATCAAAACTCCTATTATCTGCAGATATACTGTCTGCGATTGCTTTCCCGACCGGATACACCCGTATCCTCATCATACAGACTCGCGACACAATGGCGGACAGGTTCCCCTCGCTGGAGGATTTCGATTCGGGTGGTGGGTGTTTTCATGTTTTAGGTCTGGAATATGAAGCTAAGATGTTATACAGCCCAAACCGATGTTAAGTCTCCGGGCGCCGGAGCCTCGACCGACGACTTCCTCGCCCGCGAGAAGGCTCTCCTAGGCGACGACGCCGACCAGTTTGCTACCAACAACGATTCCGCTGCCTTCGAACAAGACGATGACTTGCTTGGGGGCGGGGACAGTGTTGAAACCAATCAGCAGCAGTCTACCTTCGAGTCCCAGTTCCCCGACCTGGCGCAGCAAAATGAGGTATGCGCGCCCTTGTCTGCTACGATTTTCTGGTCGACTTTGACTGACCTTGCTTCTCTTAGAATGTTGGTCCTGCGGGCACAGTTACCGGCAGTGGTCCATCCGTCAACTACAGCTCCGGCTTTCGCACAACTGTCGAGGATGAGGAAGAGCCTCAAGTGATCAAGGAGTGGAGGGAAGGGCGAGATGCCCAAATCCAGAAGCGCGCTGAACAGTTTGCCGCTCAACGCGAGGATACTGTGAAAGAGGCCCGCCAGAACATTGACGATTTCTACGAGAACTACAACTCGAAGAAGGAAAAATCTATCGCCCAGACACGTAAGGATGCCGAGCAGTTCCTCGCCAATCGCGAGGATACCGTTTCTGGCGGCACCAGCTGGGAAAGGATTGCGAAGCTGGTTGACGTCAGCGGCAAGGGTGCTAAGGGCGGTGCCGCTGGTTCGGGCAAGGAACGCTTCCGAGAGCTACTGACCAGCTTGAAGAAGGACGAGAAGGCTCCAGGAGCCGTTGGCTACTAAAGGCAGACGGACCCATAAAGGCTCATGGCACATGCTTCATATAGCATTGTTTGGCTTCCGTAGTGGAGTAGCCGATCTGTTGGACGTCATTTCTGTACGATAGCAAGTCATTTGAACATTGCGACACATGTTTGAGCTTTGTGGAACGGAGTCCGCAGTCATATTCAGTCGATAACTGATCGCTTTATGCCGCCGCGGAGAGCATAATGGTCACGATGTGAACGGAAAGTCTGAATTGAGACTTTCTAGCCTTGATTGATTGCACAGCTCGGTCTATCCATTATACAAACAACCCTGTCAAACCGTAGGGGCACGATATAATGCTGTACCAGACTCTAGTTCTCGCCGAGCCAGGTGTTGTGACCGGCAACCTTACGGACGCCCATGTAGACGGAACCTGCACCATGGTTAGCCGACTATGTCGCAGTATTGCTTCATTGACAAGCTGCATACCGGCAAAGCCACCCCAAAGGAGGGCAAGGTAGGGGACCATAAGAAACTTGGAGCGAGGGTTCTGCGACAATTGTGTTAACAGAGTGTATAGGTTGAGGCAGCAGCCGGCGGGCGCATCTGAGCAAGAGGTTGACGTACGATCCTCCAGAGGCGCTGGTGGTTCTTGTAGGCGTTCTGGTAGAAGACCTGGTGCTCGGGCACCTTGTTCCTGGCGTTGACGAGACTGAGCCTTGTTAGCAAATGTTGTCGTACGATCCCACTGGCAGCCTCGGGTGGTTGCGACCAATACGGAATGCCGCCTGTGCGGATGCCAATTGATCGATGAGAGAACATACGCCATCTTATTAAAGAGAAATCCTGGGGTTCGACTGTTGAGTATCGGTGGGCGATTTGTAGGATTGGTTGACTGAGTGGTAGGTCGAAGATTGCTCGCGGATTGAAGTTGGAAAGAGGTGATGTCGGATTGGTGGCTCGGCCCAATGTTGGATGACTAACACTACCTTACTTCACACACCCCACCCCTAAGGCACCCAGACGCCCGAAAGGAGCTCTGATGGTCTGGTCAACGCGATCCGCTGCCGCGACTAGGATTTTTCTTGTCCATCTCAGACTCCCATTTCCCTCAACAATGCTTTTACGATCTTGTCCAGCGTCCCGATAGCGACTTGGAATATGCAATGCTGTTCGATTCTGATCTGATCCTACATCGTTCATTGCCTTTGCGAGGCCATGCCATTGGCCTCACAATCCCTGGGATACTTGAATAGAGCAAGCCTCTTTCGAAAGCAACTGGATCACCAGGTCATTAGCCCTTCGCGACGGTGCCTCCTTACTTTCGCGCAGGCACGGAGTCCTGAGACTTCTGGGGAAGCAAAGCGCTTTGCTCTTGAGTCGTCTTACCTGTCGACTTGTGCTCGAGGCCACCAATCCGTCGCACCAGCTTCCGCGCGCTACTTGACCGAGTATCCCCGTAACCGAAATGTTCGCGGTTCTCATTCTACAAATTCTACCGACGAGGATCTTAACATCTTGCCACATCTCGCCATATTCGACAGAGAGGTAGACTCGTGCCGAGCGCTGCCGAAGATAGAATCGAACGACCTCTCAATATGGGCACTGCGTTTTTCCAATGCGCAACGATCGCAAGGAAAAGATGGAATCCTCCGCGTCTGGTCAGCCATGGCGCAATCGAAAGCCTTGTCCAAAGTGAAAGGGCCCGAGGCGGAATGGATATGGACAACGATACTGGAGGCTTCGCTCCCAAGCGACAGGCACCTGGAGCGTGTCAACAAGTATGCACAATGGATGGTTGAAACGCATACTGCTCACTGGCCGCACCTTTATGAACGTGTTGTACTTTACTGCTTGCAACACCGACAATACCGAAGAGCATTTTTGTGGCACATGCGTCTGGCAGCCGTCTTTGGCCCAGATCACGACAGCTTCTCAAAGCTCATACGATCACAGATTGGGGATCCCAGTCCAGCTGTCCAGAGCACCCTGCATTCGATATATATAACAGGCCCGCACCGCAACATGTACGACCTGATAATGCCTCATCTCTACGAACTCGGCCTTTCCACACTCTGCAATCAATGGCGGGAAACCCTCTTGCGCTACCGAGATGTGCCGAGGCCGATAGCAGCATCGCAGCCTTTCCTTCGCTTCTTCATGAACTATTACCCAAATAAGGCGCTATGTCTGGAGGAACAAGTTGTTGTTGGTCTAGTGCCATCGGTCTCTCACCAATCTAAGCATGAATCATCATTGTGGGAGGCTCTCTCCGCCGACCATGAGCAAGCAAAGGGTGGAAAGGGCCTGCGCTTCAACGATGCCATCGGCGCTCGATGGTTCGCTAGCTCATGGGTACCACTTGATTTCGCTGTCCACGCGGTTCACGGGCTAGGTGTTCGTGTTCTGGGTCCATTGTCACTGCAGTCAATTGCTCTCCGCGAGAAGACCGCCGCCTCCATCCTTTCGCGACTAAGACAGCTCCAAAATCTCAATCTCAGTATCGGTCACTCAACCTACGCTCTAGCAGTTCGAAGTTTTGCGGAGAGGGGAGACGACGATATGCTGTCCATGTTGCTGGAAAGCGACATTCACCCAGAGGTGTTCGACGACTTGGAAACTCAGCAGAGGATACGTTGTGCGGCCAGAAACGATGGTGACTGGCAAACATACAATCTCTTACTTGCTATCCAACCTGCTGTCGCCCGAGACTCCATTGAGACAACATCTAACCATCTTTTGCAAGAGCATATCAAACAACAGCACAATCAGCGTGCCATTGCCTTGCTCGACGATATGCGCGCAATGGATGTCAGTGTCACTCATGCTACTATGCAGGTAGTTCACGAACATCTCGTGCGCGGGCTACCGAGGCACCGCAGCTCGTTCCCTGGATCTGGCCGTCAGATATCCGAAATCGTCGCCATTGCCACAAGACTAGCAACGCGTCGAAAATTCTTGTCATCAGTATTTTGGGAGAAGGCCCTTTTCCGACTTGGTGAGACTGGCCGTCTAGATGATTTGGAGCGCTTGGCGTCCGGTATTGTGATGCTTTATCAGCTTCATGCCGCAGATACGAGAGGCTTGATTTCAATCCACAGATCGGATTCCCCGATGACCGCGCCCGATGATGCTTCGCTCGATATTCCGGCAGACTTGCCGCTCGCGCATGACTGGCATCCGATTCGGAGGATATTCGTCAACCGTGTGCTTCAAGCAGCTATCATCCGGTGGGGCTTTCGAAACGGACTGAACAAATCACAAAGTTCTCTTCAATCACATAACACTGAAGCCACTATTTCCATGTTCTGGATTGCTCGAGGTGTCCGGCTGCTTAGGGTCCTGCGAGATCAAGGTATTCCTATCGAGGCCGCGTTGGTACGAGCGGAGGTTCTTCATTGCATTGCTCGTTATTGCATCCGCGGCCACAACGAGGCTGGGACTGATGGTGCAGAGAAAATAGATCTGGTCACCATTCGAAAGCTTTTTAATCAAGCCCATGGTGGGCCGCTGCTGCCCGAACCTTTGGAGTTACGGGATTTGGCTAACCAAGCCGAACGACAACTACCTGACAACACCAAAACTTTCATATCGATACCCGGCTGGGACAGGAAGAGACGGGCCAAACCCTTCATAATGTAACATTAGAGTTGAAGCAGAGCCTCACGGGCTTGCTAAGTATTATAATCAAGATCATACATCAAGGTTTATCATCTTATACCTTGCGTCAGCAGGTCGCTCCTGTCATACCTGTTCATCTCTGTGGTCTCCCTCACCACCCCTGTCGTTTCCCCTCTTCGGCTTGATCAACAATAAGATGAACATGCCCACGACGATGAGCAACAAGAGCAGTATAATCTTTCTCTTGGTCGTCTTCTTCTGATACCCAGCCGCGACAACAAGCTCCTTGTCGGCCGCTTTGACATCTGTCGCCATATTCTCGACATTATAGTCGATGCGATCCAACATGGTGCCCTGGTCAATGACCATATTCTGCAGATCGCGGAAAATATCCGCCAGCTCGATGATGCCTTGTGCAATGTCTTCAATCTCGCGTTCTCGCTGAGTGATGGCAGCATCATTACTCTGCAACAGTCTCTGTTGCGTCACTTGCAATGTCGACTGTGAGAATGACCTATCTGCATCGGACTCGGTAATGTCGGGGTCTACGTAGGAACTCGGCCCTGGTTGAGGTGTGGACGACCTTTCACCCACCGGGGTGAAGCCTCCCAAACTACTCATGCCGCGCAATTCTGGAGAAATGTAAGCACATTGAAGCGAAGTGTCTGAAGGTTTTGCTGAGGCTCACTCTTGAGATATGCGCTTTGCTTCTTCCTGAACAAGGCGCTAGCGTCTTGCACTCTTGACGCTAAAGATATCTGAATGTTCTTCGCCATGGTTTCTTCCCCTTGACTGATGGCTCCAGCATGTTTTGCCTCCTTGACCATGCGTTCAATGCGCTGGATACAGCCGTGGCAGTCATGGAACCCTCTTGTGATCTTTTGCGTGAGATGCTCAATCTCGCGCTCCTCAGCCTTTTTCGCATCCTCATCGTCGAATCCTGGGAGCACATGCTTCTGATGCAGGCGCTCGAGTGCCTGGCTCCTTCTCGCAATATCTGCCAGCAAGTCTGTAATCTCGTCGGAGATGTCGGCCCAGCGCGGGGGCAGAAGATCCATCTCAATCACGGCGTCGCCATCGTCCTCGAAAGCACCTGCGGAGAGCAGGCCACGAGTATCCTCAGAGCCCGAGGCGGTGGCATAGTTGTCGCTGAAGGCATTGCCTCCGCCGGGCCCGCTACTGGTGTACTTTGTTCGTTTTGTTGGGTGATGCGCATAGGACTGCCGATAGGAGATGTATAGATTCGTGCGGTCCCGCCACATGGCGGACACGAGAACAAGGAAACAGCGAGTTTCTAGGTATGAGCACTATCGTCGTATCTTGCGCTGCGGAGGAGAAGGGTGATCTTGTGCTGGGCCTGGATTGTGTCAAGATTCGTGGTCTGGAGATTGGCGTGCCGAATTCAAAAGTTGCGAAGAACGTCGATAATGGCAAAGATCTAGGGGAATCTATGGTCGTGTGATTGAGCAAAAGTTTCAGTGTGTCGATATGGCTGGTATGGTCGTCGGCGCCGATGTCACATCAGGCAAGGTCCGTCAAGAGTCGAGCTTCAATCCAGAGATGCTTGGTGATCTGCAGGTCGAGAACGGGACAAGTCTCAACTAGAGCTGCATCTGCGGATTGCGTCAGGTTCGTTTGTTGGCAGCTGTAACAGCTGGTAAACAGGCAGGCAAGGAATGAGATGGGTGGTGGGCTACCTACGTAGGTGCCTACCAACTACCTACCTACTGGGGTTCAGGTAGTAGTGAATTTGGGCACCTGATTAGTGAGGAACCTCCCTGGACAGGGACGTACGTAAGGCACCTTATGTGGCACCGGCTCATCACAGCTGGAAGAGCTGCGGTGACCGGCCTGGACGCGCACTCTTCCAGTTGCCGTACCCCTGGCAGGTACGTACCCCATAAGCAGGATGTCGGGTGGTACAGCACAGACCAGGCGTGGCCTAGACCCCCTGCCCCTCCTTTCTTGCGAGGAACGGGTGTAATGAGCTGCCTTGCCCGGCTGTCTCCCTCTCCCCCTCCAAGGCCGCACACTAAAGAAAAGCTCGATACCACGACCGGCATCTGGCCAAGACCCACGAACCATCCCGCGACATCTACGACAACTGCCTTTCCCGGATCCGACTTGAATCGCATCCAAATCACCCGCCACGTTTCGCCCTCGTTCCGCACCAACATAGCTCCCCGCTATCTGCCCAATATGGTCAGTCTCCCTGCGACTACATATTACAGCCCTCGATGTGCGCTGGACCACGTCTCACCGATGTCAACAATGACCTTGCGCCTTAGCTATGGCTAGCCGCCGCCATGCGAGCACAATGTCGCTTGGATTGAGTTAGCTAACCTGCCCGTTTCTAGGCTGACTCCCTCACCGAAGAGCAAGTCTCCGAGTTCAAGGAGGCGTTCTCCCTGTTTGTATGTTCTACTCGCCTCCTCCGGCCCCCCTCCCCCTCCTTGTGCTTGTGACGTTGCCACGACTCACACGCGTCTCGTTATTTGTGATTCCCGAGGCTGACCCCCCTTCAGGACAAGGACGGCGATGGTCAGTAATCCATTCCCAACCTACCATGCACGACCTCCCGCATCACCCATCCCAACAACACGAGTCTACTATGCTCGCCTTGTGGCAACGCGGCCGCTATAGCAGTCACGCAAGGCTTCAGATGACGTCAGGCTGAACGACAACGCAGGCCAGATCACCACGAAGGAACTAGGAACTGTCATGCGTTCCCTCGGCCAGAACCCCTCTGAGTCGGAGCTTCAAGATATGATCAACGAGGTTGATGCCGACAACAACGGCACTATTGACTTCCCCGGTATGCAAGAAAAATCAGGCGATGGGACTGGATTTTGCATGGCTAATACGGGGGAAAACAGAGTTCTTGACCATGATGGCCCGCAAGATGAAGGACACTGACTCCGAGGAAGAGATCCGTGAGGCTTTCAAGGTCTGCATGCTCCACAACCGTTTTCGAGATCCCCGCTGACTGGTCTCTACCCTTGCAGGTCTTCGACCGTGACAACAACGGTTTCATCTCGGCTGCCGAGCTGCGCCACGTTATGACCTCCATCGGCGAGAAGCTGACCGACGACGAAGTTGACGAGATGATCCGCGAAGCGGACCAGGACGGTGACGGCCGCATTGACTGTAAGAAAGCCATTCGCCAGGTGTGGTGTAGATCCCATGAGTCTTACTAACATGGTCTCTCCCAGACAACGAGTTCGTTCAGCTGATGATGCAAAAGTAAAAGACTTCCCTGCACAGGTGAAACGAGATCCGGCTTGCCTGCATGCGAGGACTCCTTGTTCTCGGGTGGGATATAGCGGTACTCGTCGGAGGATCTGGCCAGCGTGTAGTCTGCTATTTCTTCCTTTGAATGTCGGAGTTGTTTTTATGCAAGGTTCGGCGAAAGTGGGATAGTATGGACAGGACATGACAGGACATGGGTTGAGGGACGAGCTAGATGCTTGGCTTCCCATTGATGTGCCAGCGTTTTCGTCTCTAACCATCCTCACTTGCGCATGATGACTATTTAACGAATGACACTCTTCCAACTAGCCTTGGATCTTCTATCACAATGCTAGAATCAGTCTAATATTTGGCTTTGGCGAGCGGTAGATCTCTTCACGACAAGGCGTAACACGTCGGAAGAGGACATCGCTGCTTCAGCCCTGCAGCCCTACAAATCAATGCAGGTGCGGCAGTATAGGGTCTTACGGGCCGTGTTTTTCGTACGTCTTAGGTATTTTGCCCGGGATTTGTGCGGTACTGGCCAACGCCCAACACCTGTTAAAAAAATGCCATTGAACATGTGGTGGGATCTAGGCAGGTCATCAGCGGGGTTACAGGCAGGCACTGCCTCTATGCAGGATCTCGTGGTCACGATGTACCGTTATTCCGGGCATGAATTTGCGCGTTTGAACTTCAGTGGGTAGTGATCAATCTATTTGAAAAATTTACATGAACGCGAACGAAGTCTCACTCTTTTGTACATGGACGAGGTCGCAATGGTTGTACAGCGAGCAGCACAATTTATCTGACATATAGCCGGACAGAAGTACGAGTTTGACTTGGAAGAGGAAACCGTACGGAATCAATCACATCTAATTAGGCCCGATATCAAAGGAAGGAATCAAAGTAGGTATTTCTTAACCCACCTCAATTAAACTCGCCGCCGCTGATGTTATCGGTGGCTTGAAGTTTGGGCACAGATATTATACCACGTCGCACCAACCTGAATTCCGAGGCATGAGGACAGTGTGCGGTATGTGGACTCGTGCCTCTGTAAAGGGGTACCCCACCAGGTAACTGGCGGGACCAGGGTGGCTCTACAAGTAGGTACCTAGTAGCTGGTTACTACTGGTGCCTGTCAACGACGGACACACAGGCGCCTTACAGTTGGCGATACCTTCAACCCACCTTACCTTGGGGCACCATCTTGTCCCGCTTGCGATCCGAAAGCCCTGCTCTCCCACGCTTTACGGCATTGCTCCATGTCGACGATTATCCTGCACCAATAAACGTTACCTCACACCGTCTGTCGGCCTTGACACCACGCAGAAGCCCCTTCGAAGGGCCACCGCCAAGTAGCCATCATGGCCTCGCGTACGACCGTTCCCTTCTCTGACAATGGCCCCGAACAATCCACTCACAACATACCTTGCAGTTAAACAATTCATTCGCAACGTTCGCGCCGCCAAGACAATCGCAGACGAACGAGCGGTCATCCAAAAAGAAAGCGCTTCGATTCGAGCAAGCTTCCGAGAAGAGAGCCATGATCCTGGTGTTCGGTGTGAATGATCTTAAGCTGCAACAGCTGCTACTCCTTTCGACATCTCAAGAACTAACGTTTTGGTGACTAGGCGCAACAATGTCGCGAAGCTCCTATATCTCTTCACACTTGGAGAGAGAACGCATTTCGGCCAGATCGAATGTCTGAAGCTCCTAGCATCACCACGTTTTGCCGACAAAAGGCTCGGCCATTTAGCCACAAGTTTGCTCCTTGACGAAAACCAAGAGGTCTTGACCCTCGTCACCAACTCCTTGAAAAAGTACGATTTCTTGGGATACAGCAGCTTGGAAAATGCTGACATGATGCCAGTGACCTTGGTCATTCCAACCAATATATCGTCGGCCTAGCCCTCTGCACTCTGGGCAACATCGCGTCTGTCGAGATGTCTAGGGATCTTTTTGCTGAAGTCGAACAATGCATCGCCACCTCGAATCCTTATATCCGCAGGAAAGCAGCCCTTTGTGCGATGCGCATTTGTCGAAAGGTGCCCGATCTCCAGGAACACTTCGTCGAGAAGGCAGCTCATCTTCTCTCGGATCGAAACCATGGTGTTCTGCTCTCAGGCCTAACGCTTGTCACGAGCTTATGCGAGGCTGAGGAGGAAGAAGGGGGCGAGGAAGGCATCGTGGATAAGTTCAAGCAGTTCGTCCCTCAGCTTATCCGAACACTCAAAGGGCTCGCCACGTCAGGCTATGCTCCGGAGCACGACGTCACTGGTATCACGGATCCATTTGTCCAGGTCAAGATTCTACGATTGCTACGAGTACTTGCAGTTGGTGATGCGCAGGTCAGTGAACAAATCAACGATATCCTGGCCCAGGTAGCAACGAACACCGATTCCTCCAAGAACGTGGGCAACTCTATTTTGTACGAGGCTGTTCGGACAATTTTGGACATCGAAGCTGACTCCGGACTTCGTGTTCTCGGTGTCAACATTCTGGGGAAGTTCCTTTCCAACAGGGACAACAATATCCGTTACGTTGCTCTGAACACTCTCATCCGAGTGGTGGCTATCGAGCCGAATGCCGTTCAGAGGCACCGTAACACGATCCTTGAGTGTCTGAGGGACCCGGATATCAGTATCAGGCGGCGAGCCCTGGATCTCAGTTTCACTCTCATTAACGAAAGCAACGTTCGTGTTCTGATCAGGGAGCTCCTCGCCTTCCTCGAGGTGGCCGATAGCGAGTTCAAGCCCACAATGACAAGCCAGATTGGCATGGCCGCAGACAAGTACGCTCCCAACAAACGATGGCACGTGGACACGATGCTGCGCGTGTTGACCTTGGCCGGCAACTACGTTAAGGAACCTATTATGGCCTCCTTCATACGTCTTGTGGCGACCACTACAGAGCTGCAGACATATGCCGTCCAGAAGCTCTACACCAGCCTTAAGAAGGACATCACACAGGAAAGCTTGACGCAGGCTGGCTCTTGGTGTATCGGAGAATACGGCGACGCGCTTCTTCGAGGTGGACAGTACGAGGAGGAAGAACTGGTGCAGGAAGTCAAGGAACATGAGATAATTGACCTCTTCGCGTCGATTCTTAACAGCAGCTACGCCACACAAGTGGCGACAGAGTATATCGTAACTGCACTCATGAAGCTGACAACAAGGCTGGCCGACCCTGCGCAGATTGAACGGGTGAGACGTTTGCTGCAGGCAAACCAGACCAGCCTTGATGTCGAGGTGCAGCAGCGAGCCGTCGAATATGGCAACCTTTTCTCGCACGATCAAATCCGTCGGGGTGTGCTCGAGAAGATGCCTCCTCCGCAGATCAAGGAAGAATCGAGGGTTTTGGGACCTGCTACAACAAAGAAGAAGTCCAACAAGGCAGCCAACAGAAAGTCCAAGATCATCAAGCCAACCGAAGAAGACCTTCTCTTCGACATCAATAGCGACGCACCGGCTGGCGTATCAGCACCTGTTGGCGGCCAGAACAACGCCGATCTGCTTGCTGACATTCTCGGTGGCAGTGGTACATCGTCACCTGCGCCAAATGCTGCATCACCCCCACCCCAGCAGTCGAACGTTGCAAGCATCATGGACATGTTTGGCCCCAACCCAGGCCAGTCTGCACCATCACCTGCGCCTGGTGGCTCTAGCTTAGACATTATGTCATCCATGTCTGGTACACCGCCGCCTGCACAGGCAGTCCCGCAGGCCTCTGCGGGCATTCCTTGCTACGACGGCAACGATCTCAATGTTTCATTCCAAGTGCAGCGCAATGCCGAGGGGCTAGTGCAAGCTACGGCTCGGTTCCGGAACACTTCGGGTTCTGTCACACTCTCGAACGTCGGTCTGCAAGCGGCTGTGCCGAAATCGCAGAAGCTACAGCTCATGGCCATTTCTAGCACGGATCTCAGCCCGGGAGCTGATGCGAGCCAGGTAATGAGGGTATCTGGCGTCAAGGGGGTATGTTTTTCCCATGCCACTATTTTATCGACGAAAATGCTTACCATGTTTTAGCCACTGAGGTTGCGTTTGAGGATTCAGTTCGTTCATCCCTCTGCGGGACAGTTGACAGAGCAAGTGAATTGGACAGAAGCGCAGTGAGTTCTTTGTTGCATAGGTATTCAAGACATCAGGCTAGCAACGAGTGGGCCTCGCTCGGTCTGCAGCAGATCGAGCAACAGGGGCGCAGAAATTCGAAGATACAGAGTGCAAGTCGCTCTGTTACTTCGGGCGTTCTTTTTTGTCGCGATATTGCGTTATAACGGAGCGACGCTCGGTGGATGAAGGCGAAAAGAGTAAATAGCCAAGACATTCGATCATCGTCGTCTATCTACTTCAATAGACATGAATTGAGCAGACGATTACAAGACTGATGATAGGTGCCTGAGTGGAGACACACTCTTCGCGGTTCAAGGAAGAGGAAACTAAACCGACTAAACCGCTCACAACATGTAAGGTCTTTATCCTGATGCCATCATTTGTCTTTCGCCCTTGTATCTATCACACCGTGGCAGTTGGGGGGTGCTTCGATCACCACAATGTTTTTCAGAAGTCTACTCCACCTCGGGTACACTCGGCCTGAAAGCTTTAATTGAACCTCTGTCGTCACCTTTTGTCTCCGTACATACCTACAATGGCCACTCCAACTCATCCGACAACTTCGCATGAGGAGCGCACTGCTCAGGAACCGCGTGATGCTGTATGATCGACCTGTCAACGCTGTGAAGCAGCACTTCATTCGTTGACAAATGAACAGGAGATACACTCAGTCATCGTCGACGATATCACCGAGATCAACTTGTCTGTTCGCCTCTTCAGGCTCAAGACAGTGAACGGGCTACCTATGACAGTTCGTCGACCTTGCCCAACACCGCGCTATGTGCAACACCGCGCTGGGCTCGTTTTCGTGTGAAGTTGACACGCAATTCCAGTTTCTCCCAGGCCAATGGCTTGATACCTTCGTCCCAGGCATACCTAAAGCAGGCGGCTTCACCATCACATCTCCACCGCATCTTGCCTACTCGCCAGTACCCTACGTTGAGCTCGCCATCCAACGATCCCCGACAAATCCACCGGTGGCCTGGCTCTTCCAGCCTACCGCGCAGGTACTCGGAAGGACACTCCAAGTTCGTGTCGGAGGAGCCTTCGTCTGGCCACCGCCTCGCATCGAACTTGCCAGCGTGCAGAACATCCTGTTCGTGGCTGGCGGTGTTGGGATCAACCCATTGATGAGCATCGTGAGCCATCTCACGAGCGGCCAAAACCCTCCGCCGTTTACTGTAGAATTCATGTATGCCACCAAGATTCCGTCCGAGGCATGGGACAATGGCAGTCTGCGACTGGACAATATCCTGTTCATGACGAGACTATTAAAGCTATTCTCGGAAGGTTCTATTGCTGGTCGATTGAGCCTTTTCCTCACTGGTGATACTCGAGGAGAAAAGGCTGTTATCGACCTCCAGAGAGCAGAGCAATCAAATCCAAAAGCCTGCGTTGCACAATGCAGGAGGATGGCTGTTCAAGATCTAGAAAAAGCGTTGGGGCCAAAGGATCGGCATCATGGCTGTGTTGCCTACATCTGCGGAGTGCCAGCCATGACGGATATGCTCGCACAGTATCTTACCGGTTCTGGTGGCCTGTCAATGGGAAAAGACCAAGTTTTATTCGAAAAATGGTGGTAACAACACATACGGGCTAGGTAGGAAGAGCGAGGAGTGTATTTGATAAACGTTTCGACGTTGCTTCAATTTCACAAGTTGCGCCTACTGAGCTACGAAACCTTCGGATGACCATTCCCGTGGGTACCACCTTTGCAGTTCGTCATCCATCAGCTGTACCCGCCTGATTCATGATCAAACGTTCCTTTCCCTTGCGCCTACGAAGAGGGGATGGACTTTGCTTTAACCAATCCCCCTCCGGTATTGACATAGCACTATCCGCCAAAGGGAGTGCTTGCTTTCGGAAACCGTGCCCGGCTGCTGACGATATGTCAGAAAGCTGACATTCAGTAGCTGCGTCGCTAATGATTTGCTTTTCGTTCGGTTCATAGGCATGCGACGAAGTTTGAGAACATTCGGAAACAGCTGGTGATACGCTATAGTTAGATAGAGACTCCATACTACGCGGTTGAGGCAGTGGACGATCTCCAGGGTCTACCGTCGCCACGTTTGTCCTCAGTGAGCCCAGTACCACTCGTGTTGCGACTTGAATCTCAGCGTTGTCAACTGTATTATAGTCATCAATGTAAGATAATAGTGATGAGGCGATCGACAAAGCTTTTGACGCCCCCGATGACTTCCTTGAGTGGCTCTCTGGGGGTGGCAGAATCGGCAGCGGCCGCTGCAAGTAATGATCGACCGGGCTTTGAGATGTCTTGTGAGGCGGCAGTGTGTGTTGGTGTGCGACCACCGGCAGAAACTCCTCGCAGATATCAAGCGTATGCGATGCTCTAAATTCTTGAGAGGCTCCATGGAGCCATTTCTGTGGCAAAAGGGACATGTCTCTCGCCGCGTTACCGTTATCAAAACACAGAGCCTTCTGAGTAGCCGACAGGTTGAAATCAAACCTATCCTTGTCGCTGGTAGTTGATTCAACCTCGCCTGATATGTCGGACTCGCCACCGCGGAAGAGAAGATCGGTGCTTGCGTGACGTTCAGACCAAGGAATAAGGTTCAGCTCCTTCAGGCTATCCTATGACCTGTAATAGAACCGGAATGCAGCAAAAGGAGAGTCCTTGGGGTCAATCAGCACCCAAGTGTAATATGCGAGATCTTGCGGATTTTCCACCAAGCCACCGGAGGGGCATCTTGTACCGCGTTAGCATGCTGCATCATCACCAGCCAGGACGGCGAAATCTTACGTGATGCCGTAGTCGACTTGGTCACGATATTCGCCAGGGCGAGGAGCCTGTCTTTGTCTTCCCATAGATCTGAAAGCTTGTACCTCCAGTAGCCCTCCGTTCGTAGCAACAGACGTGCCGATTGTGTTGGCCGAAAAATAGAAGTATCTCTTCTCAACGCCATCGAGCTTCAGTTTGACACCCTGCTCTAGGGAACGCCACCTGCTGCTCGGTTCGAATAAGCCATACTCAACGGTGCCTGTGTTGACGTTCAGCTTGGAGCCATCGGTGCCCCATGAAACCATTCGGCGACCGTTGAGAAGGAGCACAAAGTAAACGTGGCTTGAGGATGCTGGGACACGGTCGACGACCCAGTCAACAGCAAATTGTGTTCCTGGCTCTGAAGGGACGTAGATCGAAATTCTAGGATGTACCTTACGTTGAATACAGTATTTGTTGTCTGAGCTGAGCTGTGTGGCAGATGGAGAATGGTTGAGAGATGGCTCTGTCGTGTCCGTGCCCATAAGGCGTACTGAACAGGAGTCGGGATGGGGAAATTCAGGGAGACTTCTTTCTCGCTTATTCTGTTCGTGGGCTGCTCTTGTGCCGTCGGGATGTCTTCTGATTGGAACAATCGAGACACGTATGCCTCGAAGCCATGCCATGTCTGATCAGAGTGGACAGATCCTGTTGCGTGGTTGAGAACGCGTCGAGTTTGCTAGCCGTGCGAAATGAATCGAAGTGATGAAGAAACGACACTCAGACGGCAGGACACCCAGAAAAGGAGTTGAAATCGGGTTCCTGCGTTGTTACGTCATAAAGACGAAGGAAACAGAGTGAATGTAGTACTACCTGCTGTAATGTGCGCTCTCTGGTTGTTTCAGCTCGGTTCAGAGGAAAGAGCTACCCAGATTGTGACACAACCAGGCCTTCCGTGTTGAACATAAACTTCTCATAAACCTTATTGCTGCACTTATAAGAAGAATGTGGCGGCCAAAACAAATTACCTAGGAAAAGGTTATTTGGCTCAGATCTGCGCAGTCCCCGTCTCATATCGATATTGTCTAACACCAAGACAGCTCAAGGACTCTCATTAGGTTAGGGACATATGTATGCTGGGTCATGACCGGGCGCTGGGTACATGTCGCTACCTGAAGCTTACCAAACTGTGATCAAGGCCCTCGATCGACTCAGTGACACATATGCATCTTTTTCATCTCGCCATCGCCAGCTAGGCCTGACAAAGTGCCAAGACACACAGGATTCCGGTTAACGCCGGCAATATCACGTGCGCAGATCTAGGAAGGCCAAGGTCGTGTTTCTTATTTGGTGAGATTTCTTTCGAGTGAAGGCTGCTGTTCCGGTGCTCTTGTACAATTGGTTGTTTTCCCGCTCTCCGTTATCATCCTTGGAGCTCATGAACTCTCGGTCAAGCCCTTCGTTGACTCTTCACCACCCAGGGTGCCCAGGCTTCGGATGTGACCAGCGCTCGGAGCGCTGTCTCGCTCGCTAGCAGTCGCTGCCTTTCTGTACGCAGCTTGCAGCGCTCTCGTCCTCGCGGCCTGTTTGTTTGGACGAACGTGAGTCAGGGCTCAGCGCGTCTCGAGAGTGCTCCCCAGGAAAGCTGACTTACCTCTTTCTTGTGGTGCAGGCACTCGTAGTAGTCCTCTAGGGCGGCACCGCACTTGGCCTTGCCCTTGCCATCTTCCTCAGTCGTGTTGACAACGTAGCAGCCGAGCAGCTCTTGCCAGAAGGGAAAGCACCTCGAGGGTCCTACACAACGGAGTTCCAACCCGTCAGCGATCAATACCTATCAATTGGGACATATCGTGGTCGTACCGCCATGTGCGCCGAATCCGGAAGCCATTGTATTGGTTGTTAGCTTCAACGTTGAGGTGCTCGTGAATCTGGTCGATGTCCTTGTAGTCGATACGCACTGGACGTCGAAGTTGGAGATGGATGTAAATTGTGTTACATAAGCAGAGATGACCCAATCAAAACTTCTTCATCGTGATTGGCTAAATGTGTTGAAGACCACCAACAATTGGTTCCCCACAGACCGCCTACCGCTTCTGGCGCCACCCCAGCCTACCTAGGTAGGTGCCCCTCGTTCCTTTGATTCTGCCGCTCAGTTTCTGAATGTTTTATGATGTTCGAGGTACACCATATGCTTTCAAGGCGACCATAGGCAATCGATCACAGGACCAGCATTTAGAGTTATCTTACAGGTCACCAATTTCGTTGTCATCGACAACATATTCACAGGCACGGCCTGGGCTTTACTTTAAGAACGCGATCCGGGCAGGGCTGGTGCCCATGGCACCAATAAGAACATTCGCGGCGGCGGTTCTGCAGGTTGGCCAATGTCTGGTTCATGAGCAACTGCCGCTGGAAACCCGCTGGTGGTCGATATTCATCATGGTGGTATGGAATTTCGCATAGGATGTTGGGTTCGCGACTGGACAGTGTGCGTTTGAAATGGTGTGGTCGAGAATGGTATGATTCGTTTGGTGACTCGTGCGTCGAGGATGAGCCGACGGCTGACTACCTAGACAGCCTGGCATATGTGCTCCCTGACACCGTGCCGCCCCGGGGCAATCGCCCAATGTTCTACCCGCAAAAACCAAAGCCCAAGTCTTGTCCACTCTTCCCCAGTGCCGCCAACAATTTACCGAAGACGCCTGGCCTCACGCTCGGACTCGAGGAGGCAGAGAATGTCATCCTCACGGACTGTGAGATCACGCTGGTTAGCTCAACAACCCTTCAAGCTCTGTTTGCGATAGAATGCCGACGTACCAGGGCCCTTGACGTTACGGATGATGGAACGGGTCTGGTCGTCCATGAACTCGACGCGAACCTGGGTGACACCGCCGCGCGAGCCTATTCCAATCAATCAGCATCCAGCCGCCGCCAAAAGTGTGTTTTCGTCGAGTGCATTCGTACCGGTGCGGCCGAGGACACGGGTCACCTTGACCAGCTTAACGGGAGTCTTAGAGGAATCCATCGTCGCAAATGTGAGGTTTTCGGAAGCGGGTTGCGATCGATCGGGTAAGTGGACGAGAGGGTGTGTCGGAGCGTTGGGCGAAGGGCGATTTGTCGTGAGGCCGTTTTGGTGGTCAGAGTGGATGTTTTCTGTGATTCGGCAGGGTTTTCGGAGTAGGGCAGGCACTTCGCGCTGCTAGTCACGTGCATAGGTGCCTTGGACTGCTAGTTTGTGTGTACAGTGTCCACCAGCTGTCGGCCACCCCAGCCAGACTGAGTGAGGGAGCCCCACCAAAGGTTCAGGATGACGCTGTGCTTCGCTCCACTTGTAGACGGGAAGGAGCTTTGGAGACCTTCAATCAAGCCGATGTGGCTTATTGGATGCGGCTCCCGTACAACATCGACTTGATACATCGAAACCTGTTCGAGGTTGACCTTCGACCATCAAACTCGTTACCGCTTCCGAATATGTGACTTCTTTGCGCATAATGAGCCTCATCCTGTCTCCACCGAAACTCGTCCTCCTGGCTGTTCATTTGGCGACCATCGCCGACGTGAACAGCTTGGCTTACCTGACGTCGCGATATCCAGCCGTCCTGCGAAAGGACATCATCCTGCGCATCCTCCTGACATACCTTCCAGAAACGATACCGTCTGCAGAATATGTTGACTTCCTTCAGGAGTTGGAATCGGGCGAATTTGACGACCACGAGGCCAACGGTCTGAATTATGCGACTGTCCACGACTTGAACGACGAGGAAGCCGCCAAGAAAGTCCGCAAACTACGACTACTTCCCTTGTCCGATGGAAAAGGCTCTACAGACGCCAATGAAGATCACATAACGTCGTTTCTTTATCGGAGAGCTTACCGGGTGGATGAGGAAGCCGGATTGCTCGCGCAATTGCCGGTTCTTCTTGCGCCTTTCCTTCACCATAGCCACGACCTGCGCACTTGGGTAATTTCAACGCTTTTGCCGCTGTTGAGGAGGAATTACGAGTATTATCCACAGGGTGCTGTCGCAAACACTCTCGTCGACTTTCAGAAATTACCAGACAACATCGCCGTCGGTGTCTTACTGTCGAACACTGGCGCAAATGGCGATCTCAGCACTGTTGGGCGGGACCTACGCGGCTTGGTTGGACCATGGCTCCACGACAATACACGCTGGATATCTGCAATGAGTGCAGACTCATCATTGCAGCTTGCCATCAGTGCAGGAACGAACACGGAGGGCCTATTGTGTCCTGGCTGGGAGCAAGTCTTAGAATGGCTGACCGCCCATGCAGCGCGGTCCTGGAGAGTTGCTGTTGCCGCTGTCGAGCAGTACAACGGCCCGGAAGATGTGGATTTGGGTGAATACGATGGCATTTGGTTGCGAGAAGAGCAACAACAGTACCTCGACCGACGATATGCACGAGCCATCCTTGCCTGCGCTTACATCATGCCAGAGGCAAACCCGGAAGCTCTTCAGGGCGCTTATCAAATGGTGTCCAAGGTTATGGAACTTCTCGGCAACGACAGCTCTACCTCGCTTGAACAGGATGTGTATAACCTGCAGACTGTTGCCGATCTTGATAGCGAGCTCTTCTCGTCACCGAAAAACACGGCTTACATGCGAGACGACCTCCTTCACGAGAGCAATCCACTCACTTCTCCCTCTCTGAAGGCGGCACGACTCCTTCAGGCGCTGATATTGAGCGCATACCTCTTCACCCAGGCTGGGCATCCGTGCTCAATCAAAAGCGCGGGAGACCTTGCGTTCATTCAGGACGAGCGTGAGCAAAAGATGGAGGCAACAAAGCTCATCCATACGATAGTAAATCGAGCTCCTCGGAATGACGAGAGCTATTGGACGAAATCGCGGAGGCAAATCTTGTGGCTCCGTGACTGGGGCGCAAAATCCAGTTCAGAAGGCTCAGGCTCCGGAGTTCTCGGTCGAGTAACATCAAGCTTTCTTGAGGCCGAGATTTTGAAAGGCCTTCTTGCGAACAATCGTAAGAGTTGCCTGATAATTCTATCTCGGAGTTGTTTGCTAATGATACTATAGAGTATTCCCTTGCTGCCTCATTATACGAAGGTGCCGAGCAATCGCTGTCACAACAAGCTTTGCAAGATACCATTCTCGGTGCAGCCCTCAACGCATATGACAATGCCACAAATCCCAACCGCACTCGGGGCGGCCTCAAGAAATGCGACGAGATGTAAGACTAGACCTAGTACCCTCGAGACAGACACCTCTGATCATCTCTCAGCATCAACGCCTTTCCCCAAACGATCGGCAAGTCGTTGCCTGCGAGGCAACGCATCGACGCTTTGCTGAAGGCAACCCATGCCCTGAGTGATTACAGGCTAGTGCTGAAGCAAGGCGAACCTTTCAGCCCTGTCGTTCTTCGCGTTCACGCGGACCCGTTATCGATTATCAGCAAGGTCCTTGAGCAAAACAAAAAGAGCTACACCCAGATGCAAGATCTCCTGGAAGTGGGATACAATATGGTTAAGGCTGGCCTTACGACGAAGAGTAGCCACGGTGCAGCTGTGTCAGGTGAAGTCATTGACGCTCACGTTCTGCGCGCTGAGGAGCGCATTGTCGCTATGTGCATTGAAGCAGCGCTCCGAGAGGACGACTTCGAGACTGCCTATTCATACGTTGTTAGCAGAATATCGGAGCGCGGTGGAACACCTGCCCGCATCACTAGTGATCCGGACGAAGAATGGCCATGGCGGTCGGCGCTCTTGGCAGGCCAATACGTTCGCACTGCCCGGACAATCCAACCGACACATTTGGGCACGGCGAGCGGTAACCCCGAGATCAGACACCTTGAGCAGCGTATCGACTGCCTGTCCACGGCGCTTCGTATCGCGCCAGCGGCACAGCTGCAGGAGATTCTCAAGACTTTCAGGCGCTGCGAGGAGCAGCTTGACTCGGCTGTCAAAGCGGAGGCAGCACTCGAGGCGGACGAGGATGATCTGCACGGCATGCCTGGCGGGTTCGGTACACCGGCACCGGCTCGCAGGGTCCTCGCCGTGCCAGGTGTTGGAGGCTCCACCGCGCCGCCGAGCAAGGCGAGCGGTGCGGACGAGGCGCCCATGTCTCTGTTCGACTTGTCGCGCGCAACCGCGCGAGCTGCCTCCAGAAACTTTGCGGCGCTGTCAAGTCTGCAGCAGTCCTCTGGTGGGGGCAAGACGCCTCAGAGCGAGGGTCCTGCGAACGATCACGAGACGGAAGGTTACGAGGACGATCACCACAGGTTACGCAAGAGGGATCAGCTGCGCGAAGCGGCGATGGGCACTCTGACGTCGGGCGTAGGCTGGTTGATCGGAGCGCCAGCGTCAGGGGGAGGTGAACAGAGAGATCGAGATGACTAGGTAGCAAATGCGCCCCCCTTAGGCAGGCATCTGGGGAGACATGAGAGCACATAATAGCAACGAGCCCCGCGACATACATGACGAAGATTAAAAAACTGCCCAGCCTGCGCTGCGAAGATCAACTACTACTGGGGTCATCCCGCTGTACAATGAAGCCCAATGGATGGATGGACGGACGCCCCACAGAGCGCACCACTGATGTAGATGAGCCGCGGATTGGTAGGACGTCATTGTGCTGCAGGTTTCCCCCAGATGATCCACAACGGAAGGGCAGACCGAGGCAGGCAGTAGACCAGACAAGCTCCGAATGGAGCAGAGCGATATGACGCGAGATGAAAGTGTAGCGAACAGCAGACGTGAGAGTGGGGTTCCTCGTGATATTATCAGGGCACATGACGGCCATGAGGCCATTGAGCGATGTAGCATGCAGTGCGGGGGGGACGGGGGGACGACAGGCAGAAAGACGGGCAAGATCGACGCTTATGGGCAACTCGAGGGTCTTGTGAACTGAGCCGGCGGTGGGACATCGTGAGGTTTCGGCGCTGGCCATTCGTTGCAGGCGCGGCGAGGCAGACAACACAACTGCTGCCGAGAACAAAAGACTGATTCATAAAAAGTTGTGTCGTGTGGCACCGGCCGGTCGGGGGCGAGGCTCCAGGGATGGCCACAGCTGCAGGGTTGATGGGGCGAGCGATGGACGCGTCCAGGTGGCGTTGGACGTTGGATGGCTTCGGAAGTGCCAGGTTTGCGAAATTACCATTTGAGGGAATTCGATGCTGTTGAGGTGATGGATGGCGTACGGTACATTATCGTTGAGGCATTCCGCAGAGGGGCTGCGATCGACTGGCGAGAGATATTGCTGCTCCAGGAATGATGTCTCTTGCTCCCTTCCCCTACCCAACGTACGTGTTTCAATCGGCAAGATGACTCAGACTGAGACCGAAGAGACTATTCTCATATCCATGGCATCCCAGGGTAGCATTGTTGATAGAGGATTGGTGAGGATGCGGAGGGGGAGGTGGTGATGCTACAGTGCAGCATGCAGCTTGTGTGAGGTGCAGCGCTGAACACGAAGCACGGCACAAAGCAGACGCGCTGCAACGAGCGAGCCACCGGCCGGTGCTGCAAGCACACTAACCCAACCGGCTTGCAAACCAATGGTGGGCTGTTGGCGGGGCCTTGTGCAGGAGACTCCCCCGTAATTTCCCTGATGGGGTCTGTGAGGACGGTGGACTCCCGCCTGGTCGCCTGGCGGGGACCACCAGTCGTCATCGCGCACGATATCCGAGGTGTAGGCCTGGGTTCCAGCAACAGGTAGGTACCTACCTTAGGTCAGATAGCCTGACCTTTTGACGCTATGCCCCTTGCTCGCTCGATCGCTCGCCAAAGGCATCGACGTGGGATCATTGTTGGAATCCGAACAAAGCCCGACGGGGGGCTCGTCGCAGATAATTTGTCTCTGCAACCACTTGTTGGCATCTTCAACCATTCGAGTAAGACAAGCAGTGAAAGGGATGCCCTCGGGGATGTGACAACAGAGCTAAGTCATCGTCTGAAGACGAGAGCAGCGTGGAGAATGAGGCAGGCGCTAACCAAACCTCACTTGGGAAAGAAGGTCCGGGTGGTCGTGGTGGTGCAACGAGGGTAAGGTAAGGTAAGGAAAGAAAGGGCGGGCACGACAGGCAGGCAGAGGCAGGCAAGTCAACCGGCAGAATGATATGATGAAGCGGCTGCCATGTCAATCAACGCCCCTCTGGCTGCCTGGCGATTTTACCCTGCTTTTTCTTTTCCCTCTGCCACTCCGAGCAATTGCGGCTTCTCTCCATTCATCCCACCCAGCTGTCGGAGACCCTCTTCCCAGCCAGCCATCCCATCGTATCCCGCATCCCGCATCCCGCGCCTCGTGCCTCGTGCCTCGTGCTTCGTGCAGCTACCTACCTTACCTGGGTAGCTAAGGCAAGGTATCTGCCAACAACCTACCTCCCTCCCTCCTGGGGTCCCTCCACCCCCCCTTGATCCTACTCTCATACTCCTCACCTCCCCCTCGCTTCTCGACCTCGCACGCGTTGCCTCTCTCTTGCTCCCTCAATTCTAATCCCAGGACCTTTCGCTTCTTGCCATACCTAGCTTCATGGCCTCGCGCTGAACCTGGCGCCTATCCTCCCTCGGAACCTTGCCGTCCGCCTATTGTTCAGTGACGACCTATTGCTGTCAGTGTCTCAGAACGCCGACCCCTCCACAATGTCAATGGCCGTGCAAGGAGGGGACCAGCACCAGCTTGTCTATGCTACGGTTCGTTTGTTCCACTGGCCCCGAGTCAACACGCTGCCTCGCACCTCAAGCTCACACGCTGCCTCTCACCCAGCTTCTGCTCAGCGATTCATACCTCCCAGGTAAGCTTGGCATGCCTCATTCGATCCCCCGACTTGCGCTCATCCTCCCACAGGCGCATTGGTCCTCGCGCATTCCTTGCGCGATGCTGGTACCGCCCATCAACTGGCCGTCTTGGTCACACTCGACACCGTCTCCGCCGAGGTCATCACACAGCTCAAGGTAACCCCGCTCCACCCACCATCGCTTTCCGCCCCTTCAAAATCATTCTCAACCTTAACGCGCGATTGTTCAGACCGTCTACGACCATGTCATTCCGGTGCCCCGTCTGCGCAACGAGCGACCCGCCAACCTGTACCTGATGAACCGCGCCGACCTGCACTCTGCTTTCACCAAGATCAACTTGTGGAAACAGACACAATTCTCGAAAATCGTATACATCGATGCCGACGTTGTCGCATACAGGGCCCCCGATGAACTCTTTAGCATCCCTCACCCCTTTTCCGCCGCGCCCGACATCGGCTGGCCTGACCTTTTTAACTCGGGCGTCATGGTCTTGACGCCCAACATGGGCGACTACTATGCACTTGTTGCTATGGCTGAGAGGGGCATCTCTTTCGACGGTGCCGACCAGGGCCTGCTGAATATGCATTTCGGGAACAACTACAACCGCATCAGCTTCACGTACAACGTGACCCCCTCCGCTCACTACCAGTATCTTCCAGCCTACCGTCACTTCCAATCCAGCATCAATATGGTCCACTTCATCGGCTCTGACAAACCTTGGTCGAAAGGTCGCGATACGCACAAGGGGGACTCTCCTTTTGATCAAATGTTTGGAAGGTGGTGGGCTGTGTATGACAGACATTACAGAGCTCCCGTAAGTTTGAGCATGGTCGCTACGTGTGAGCTGTTCAGCTAAACCTCTGTATAGGAGCAAGACTCATTCTCATTGACACCCAATCGTTCGCAAGGCTTACACGTAACATCTCAGCCAACAGTATCACCACTGGTTCAGTACTTCACCAAGGGCGAATATCAGCCGAAGTCGGACCAAACAGTTCCAGCTGGTGAGCAGAAGCACAGTGCATACAACGAGGGCCACGGCACGGTTCACCATGAGAGCCAGGGGCAGGGCTCACTTGAACGTCATTTTCCCCATCGCCATCATGAACCACATGAACGCCATCAAGACCACTGGGAAGACGGATCCTCTCCGACCGAGCCCTCGTCCCGCCTTGCGCCCTCCCCTTCCTCTCCCAGTGTGTTGATTGATACTCCTGGAACACACACTGAGGCTCGTCCAGAGCAAAATCTTGCGGGGACGGAACGGGAGCCCCCAGCCCCGCCTGTGATACCCCCTGAGGAGAAGCCAGAGCCACGACCCATTCCCTTGAACACATGGGACGCTCAATGGTAAGTCAACCATGCTGCCCACTATGCCGCTGGGCAGGCTATCGTGCTCACTGGACCTTTCAGGCAACCACCGCCTGCCGACTCGCAACCCGAGGCGCTTAATTTTCCACACCAGGTTTATACCATGTCTCAGGACCCTGCTCCGTTTGTCCCTCCCCCACGCTATCCCAGTCCGCCTAAAGACATGTGGTACGAGGTGCCCAAAGAGAAACCTGCTCCGCCTTCACAGAAGCCTCGTGCCATCTTCCCCTGGGAATCAAACCAACCTAGGCCAGCGCGAGTGTTCACAGACCTGCCCGCGGAGTCTGAAGCAGAAAAGCCTGAAGCCACGCCAACGGGTGAGCACCAAAGGACGATTTCTGGTCAGCGCGATGCTGAGTACATAGACACAGAAGCGTCGACAGCGGAACAGAAGAGTGAACCCGTGACTCCTGCCACCCCGACCATCAACGTGATTCCGTCAGACCCCTGGAACACTTTCACGCGGACGAATGCTTGGGATGAAATGCCCGAGATTGAGCGCTACGTCGAAGGGCTACAGAAGCACCGCCGCGTGAAAAGCCAGGGTTCGCCCGGCATCGCCTCGATTAACAAAAAGGCGAAGCAGGAGCGCGGGTTCAGGTTGACCGACTTTCCCAGCGAAGTCGATCGGCCCAGTCTTCCCGTTACACCGGCACCCATCCGCCGGCCCAAGTTCTGGGGTGGCGGCGACCCTGGTGCTGGTGAAGGTGAGGACGAAGAGGTATTGCCGGTCGCGGAGGGCGTACCGTTGCAGTCCGCCTGGGTATGTGTGCATGGACAACGCTGGACTCCTGCAGACTGTCTTTGCGATCTCACTAACATGCTTCGGACGTACAAGGATCCGGCGGAACAACTTCAGAAGCTCGCCAAGCAACAGTCTGAAGCACTGCTGAAGAGACTCGGGCAAGGTGATGGAACGGAGGGACTCGGCCGTGAGATTCCCACTCGCTCTCTGCCGTTCGGTTCAGAGGGCGTGGTCTCAAATGCCCATGGCGCACAGCAGTCTAGTAACGTGGTGCTCAGTCCGCAGCCGGTAAAAGGCGGCACGACTGCTAGTATCATGCGAAGCATGGGAGCTGAGCAAGATGCTGCTACCACCCATCGAGACATCAGCATGGAGCCACTTACAACGGGTCTCTCGATAGAGGAGCCGTCGTATAGCGGTCCGGGCGCTACTTGGGAGAAAGGGGGGGACGCGCCGGTACGGGAGACGCCGTTGCTACCAACTGATGAAGAGCTAGATGTGCTCAATAGCTGAAAAGAGAATTAGAGTGGCTGCCGGTGGTCGAAACCCTACTGAGGTGAACACCTCAGTCTGGTGGCAACTGTCGAAGTGGCTAAGATGGTGGAGTACTCGCGACAACGGGATGTATGATAGCAATGGCGAGTTATTGGTGCAGCCGAGGAAGCACCGGTAGATGAGGAGGGGCACGAGTATAATAATGGTTGATGTGGCGTGGTGAATGGTGATGGTGCCCTTGTAATGTCTTTGTGCCGTATCAACCATCTGAAGCAGATGAACCCAGGAGAACTAGTGACGAACGAGCCCAAGTCTGGTTCGTCTCGGTCAGGTATTATTCGAACCGGCCCTGCTTGGTTTTAGCTCAGCAGGGCCACCCTTCAAGACCCTTTGCCTTTAGGGATGAGATTAAAGTATGTGTACGTTCTGGTCGCTAGTCTTGTCGCGGGCCGCCCACACGTAGCTTATCGGGGCAGTCAGCAGCATATGTACGCTATGTGTGAAAACCAACGTAACAACATTGACAGGATACGAGGCAAGCGCCATGACGACGAATCCAGTGTACCATGGCATCAAGATCTTCGCTGATTCATCTCATTGGTATACTCAGTACAGGTGCGATAGGTAGGATTGTGGGAAGGGGGAAGGGGGCCGCTCAATGCCGTGCAAATTTCATTCTCAATCAGTCATATGCCTGCGCACGCGCACTACGAGGCGTCGCCCTCCTGGTCATCACCCGCGTCCTCGACCGTGACAGCCTTGGCCTTGCCCTTTTCCTCGCCGGCCCTACCAGCGACCACTGTAGGCTGTGCCGATGCCGGCGGCGCGACGGCTGGGCTCTTTTCCCTCGGCTCGTCCGTCGTCGATGTGGTGTCCGAGTTGCCGTCTCGGGCGGAACTCCTGCTGCGGCCAAAGAGCTGATTCTCGCCACCCCAGTTGGGCATGACGGGGTTAGGTGCCAGGATCTCGGGTCCGCCGGTCGTCCCGTTGGCAGTAGCTGCGGGCGGCACTGCTTCGTTCTGACGTGTTGAGCTTGAAGGCTCCACAGAGGGCTCACTCTGGGTGCTCTGGGTCGTCGTGGGAACTGGGGCTCCGTCCAGGCGCTGGAGAGGGAGCAGAGACCAGCCCGGAGGTATGGAGACACCTTCGGGCAGGTCCTGGCTACCAGCGTGGATGGGAGCCGACTGCGCTGTGATCCCATGCCGACTAAAGGCATGTGACGGCGTCTGCGAGAACGGCTGCAGTGATGGCAGTGGCTGTTGCGGAACAGAGAAGGTGGGCACGGTGAACCCATGTGGCACCTCTTGATTCGGCACTTGTGGTTGTTGTTGTTGCTGCTGCTGTTGTTGACGGAGCCTGTTCAGCTCTGCGAGTAGGAGATTGCAGAGCTGGAGCTGCTGTTGGTCTTGTTGAAGACTCAAAAGGTTACTCTGGATAGAACGTTCAACTTCACGAAGACGTTCTCGTATCGATCCAACATCGTTACCCAGAACGCCATAGGGTACTGATGGAGTGGCAACAGTCGGGGTAATCGGCGTGGCCGGGGCAGGATGGCCTGGAGTCGCGCCTCCTTGGCGACCTTGTGCCATACGCTGCGCTAATTCCTGTATGTTCTCTCCCCCTTGAGCGAATCCAACACGTAGGTTGCCAAAATTAAACACCCGCGCGCCTCCATTTCGAGGAGCAGGCTGGCCAGCAGCAGGCGGCGCTGGAGCTTGTGGGCCGCCATTTTGGCCGTTTGCTGGCAGTGGGCGCTGGGCTTGGGGCTGGGCTTGACCGGCTGGTGCTGGGGCTGCTGGCACACCGAGACCGAGTCGGCCTAGGGCGGCATCCCGGTTCGCTGCTGCAGGAGGAGCATTGATGACAACCGAACGGCGGCATGTAGGGCAGACCTGTTGACGCTCTAGCCAACTCTTGAGGCAACCCATGTGAAGGATGTGGCCACATGGAAGCTTTTTGGGTCGGATTCGCTGGAGGGCGCCAGGGTTATTGGCAGGATCCCAGGGTCTCATCTCCTCTCTGCAAATGATACAAGTATCCTCTCTGGAAATATCTTCTTGCGTGGCGTCGGCGTAATTGTTCATGTCTTCCATTGCCTTGCGGTATTTCCATAGAGCCGAGCCTCGTTTGATGACGGCGCGCCCAGTCATGAACAGGTCCCTCATGATATGTATGGGTAGTCCGTAGAAGGAGAAGAGTATGAAGAAGAAGACGATGTAGATCGAAAATTTGGTGCAATCTGTCCATGGTCAGCCATCTATCTCCGGTGTTCACTTTGTAGGTATGTGTTTCATACCAGCGACAAGGTCCAGAATGAGAATCCATTGGCCTTTTTCTTCCCAGCCTGGTACCTCGATGTCCATCTCATCAACGTCTTCTTCACGCGGGAGGTCGGACTGGTCGGCGGTCGTCTCCCCATCAGCGCTAGGCTCCTGGGCTCGTTGTCTCATCATGTTGTCCCGGGTCTGTCGGACTTCGCGGCGTCGCTCCTCGAGTAGCGTCTTTGTCTGTTGCTTGACAATGCGACTCTCGAGTATGGAGACCAGGTATCGAACGCCAGTGCGGGCAGAGCAAGTGGCGAGCACTGCGAACTCGAAGAGGAACATGACCATCATGTCTGGCCGAGCTTGTCGGATCACGGTTCGAATGGTGTAGGCCAGGATCCAGAGGTCGTAGGCGAGACTGAGCAGCAGAGACAAGCTGAGTCGCGTGTGGAAAAGGCCCGGATTTGCCGGCGGCTGTTGCTCAAGGATCTCGACTCGTCCGTCTCCAATCCAGCCCCAAACCTTGCCCGTAATCAACGCGGTGAACATGACAAGAAACCAGGCTCCTATCTCGTCTCTGAAGATGGTCATCGCAAGGCATGTTTCGGTGATGGCAAACCATGCTCGTTCGGATAGCTGCTCGACTTCGGTCTGGCGGAGGGGTCCGTAGAAAATGCGTTGTAAGCCGTAGACGGTGGTGCCATAGATGAGATAGACAAAGTTGATGAGGATCTATCCAGAACGTATTAGAATATCTGGATATGCCAGCCATGAAATGCGCCGCTGGCTTGGGAGAATAGGGCACGTAGAATGCTTTCGTGGCGACTCACCAGGAGACAGAAGTTACTCTGAGCCAGATAGACCATGGCAGAGTAGAAATTCGCTCGCTGTTGGAAAGCTGAGACAACAACCGCAGTCGCCAGAGTCGTCGAGACCTGTCGTCGTCAGTTTCACCCATTCGGTCTTGCGCGTCGAGTTGATCATGTTTTACTGACCCCGGCATACCACACGAGCCGCATCGCTGAAGGATGTGGAATTGGTCGCGCTGCGTGTATTTCCTGGAAAAGGAGTTTGGGAGTTGTAGAAAGGGCGTCAGGTGCCCATTATACTACAAATGAACAAGCGCGGGCTGGTGTGTGTCTGGGCCAAGCCAAATTATGATGGCGATGATGACCTGTTAGCAGCTCGTTGATGGTTGAAGCCACGTTAGGAATCGGGAAGCTACACTGAGACGGACGTGGCTGCTATTGGTGGAAGCTTGGGTGGATGACGCAGCAGGTTCCGCCATAAGGCCACGTGACTGGGTTTCTAGCGGGGGTCGGGGGGGTCGTTCGCCGACTCTCCGACCAACCTCACTTGCTCTCACGAGGTATCGAATAACATAAACTGAACCTTTTGGCTTCCTATGTGTCACTTGCAACATTTGCCAACCAACTCATGAATTCACTGTCTTCACTATTTCATTTTTCGATGTCCAATTCTCTAGTAAAATGATCACTTGCAAAACGTGAATGACATCATAAGTCAGTTCATTGATTCCTGGCTCGGCGACGGGCGAACGATCTGCAAAAGCGCCTTGAGCTTCATCGCCCATAGATCGCTGCCAATATACTGAACGTACTCACAGCGTTGCCGAAGAAGTTGTGGATATTGAGCCCAGTACATAGGCTGTACCGCGAATCTTCAACAGCATCGACCATGAATTCATTCATCACGCCAGCCTTTTTATCTTCTATCCGTAATTCGCGATCTCTCCCCCGTAACTCGTGGTACTTCATCACAGCCACCACATTGTCTATACTGAACAGGCCGGACGAGATTCCAAAGGTATTCAATGATGCTATCGGACGTGCAGCTGGTCTGACCGATGGGTCTCCGTCGGTGGATGAGCAACTCACCATCGCTAGACGTATGCGTGAGGCTCTCGTCAAGGCATCCGCTGTCGGAGGCCTTCCCAAGGTAAGGTTCGCTTCGCTCTTCCAGCATCTTGTCCCACTGACAGGTCCCCATCACAGACCATAAATGCTCTTATGGCGATGAAGGCGGTAACGCCATCTCATCTGCTGGATGACCCAGGAGAAGCCTCACCCACGACACGGCGGCATGACATAGAGAATGGATCGTCACAGATTTTGGACCGTGGTGCAAAGTTCTGGGACAGGATATACGGGAAGATATCAAAAAGAATCATGAGTCAAATGGAGAGGTGTGGCACAGAGGATTTGGCTGTCACTGCCCGTCTCATGTACGGCCACATTCTGAGCAATACCCGGATATTGTCTGCGCCGGAGACTTCATTCGTCTTGATCGCTGGCCTGATACCCCAAGACGTAAGGACTTGAGCACCCAGAACCAAGGATATATATGCTGAGTACAAATTTACAGGTCAACCCGCAGCTCAAGGGTCATCTCAGAGGCGCACTGAATGCAGGTGCCTCTAAGGAGGAGGTCGCCGCTGTACGGGATCTCGTGATACGGATTTGCGAGGCAGCAGGCATGCAGAAGCTTGATGCTTCAGCATCAGGAGGTTGGGGATGGGAGGGGGAGATAGCAGATGTTTGATAGTCACATCAGTCACATCGCCTGCTGTAAGATGCACCTTTCCTCTGGCTATTGCTTCCTTTTTAGTCGCTTCATATTTCAAGCCTAACAATTCGGCATCGATAGCAAGAAGTCCAGCATAGTGCATTGCCTGTTGTCCTGTACGATTTTATAGAAATCCATGTATTCTTTGCTGAATGCTCTAGGTTGCACATTTTGATATGATCCATTCTGTCAGCTTTAAGGGCTGCTTGGACAAATATCGTACCCTGTGCCTTTGCTTTTCTCGAGACGATGTGATCTAGCTTGATAGAGTGACACCCATTGGTGATGGCATCTTGCTATAGCAATCATAGTCAAATTCGCAGCAGGCCTCAGGCCCTTGCCGGGAGATGTGCCTAGTTTCTGTATTAACCCACAGGGCTTGCATCGATCGACTACGGCTCATTCAAAAATTGCCAGTAATAGGATACCCTTCACTAAATGTTGTCGATCACAACCGTTTCGCGATCGGATCGCCTCGATTCCGACCGGCTGTAGGACGATATCAGCCACCAGGAGAATACTCCCCGGTGTAGTCCCCAATGACCAATGTCCCAGTGTTTGGACTGGCAGCTCTCGAGGGGGGGTGTCCGATGAAAAAAAAACAAAAAAAAACGGGTGGACCGGGGAGCCCATCGGCACCGATCACGGATCGCCCATGCAAGAATAGTCGTCGACGATCCGCCCATCACAATCGTAACCGGTGAGCCCTGCCAACCGAGTCTTGCACCGCTCATCACTTCCGTAGATGGTCAAGACGACAGGCGTGCCAAGCGGGAGGATTTCTCCCAGCAGCGAGATCTCAAGGCAGAACGCTGTCCGAGCGCCATGAACCAAGGTTTTGGCTGCTCGCGGTGTGCTGAGAAACGATGCTTGTTGACCAGTGGGGCTGGAGAGTTTGCTCCCCGTCCCGGTCTGCACGGCGGGTTTGTCTATGAGACTGCCCAGCCCAAAGTCCTTCGGATGCCAGACGAGGCAACAAGGACTTCGTCTTGTCCATGCCATCCGGTCCAGCCAGCAGTGACCGAGTGGGTGAGGACATCCCATTAAAAACCACCCCCCCACCCTCCATTCCCCTCAACCCCCTCCCAGGAGGCCTGGGTTGCACAGCATGCCCCAAAGACAACACGCATCTCTGAGGCCGGGGAAAAAGCAATGACTGTCTCGCGTAGCCCCGAAGGAGGAGGGGATGAAAACCAACCCCCTACCGAGGCCTTGTCTCTGCAGAGAAACGAAACAAGTAGCGAGGAGCAGACATGGAGAGTTGATACATTACGATGCGGGTCTCAACCAATCAGGTGGTCATGTCGACTTTGGGCGTGATGTGGTTCCTCGCAGTGGCTCGGGGACTACAGGGGTGTGCTAGAGGGCGATCGCTGCAAAGTGGTCGCCGACCACCTGCAGAAGTTTCATTTCGGATACGGAGTCTCCCGGACAGGGGGGGGGGGCACATAACGTTTGAGCGACCGTTCACCCCAAATTCCGTCCAGCCTGGTCGGCAAGCCCAACAACGTCGGCGACCTTGTATCATCGTGACGCATCCACCGCCCAATGACCGTCACTGCGATGATATGCATCAGATTGGCGGTTTACTCAACGAGCGTATCTTCGTCCACCCAAGCGCAGATATTCGTGACTTGACGAGTCGTCTTCGTGACAGAGTTACTGGTAACGGGTCAGGATCCCAGTGGCCTCCGTGTAGCACGAATGAGGTTGTCGGCGTCTCGTAACAGGACCAGCCGTCTGCCATACCACCCTCGCGTGCATGTCTGTTCTCGTGACCCGAGGAGCTATCCCCAAATATTGGATGCCACCGGAACCAGGATCCTAGAAGAAAAAAAAACGATGACGGGGGAAGGAAAAACAGGGAGGAGGGGGGGGGGGGGGCAATCTGCCTTGCCATCTCATACTTTCCGCGATCTCTCTCCCGCCATATGCCCACCAGACCACACCTCCAACAGTGGGCCTTGAGGGGTGAGGGGGGGGGGAGGCAGCCCTGTCCTGCCTCGCCCATGCCCTGCTCACTGCCATGCCTTCTCCATGGGATAATGCCCCTCACCTTTTGTTTCGAACAGCCGGATGGGCTGGCGTTGCGGGTGCGGCGGGCTTGACCGTAAATCTGGGTGCAGCGACACGTGGAACTGGGCCAGGTCTAGAGCGATTTAGGAGAAAGCAACCGTATAACGTTGTATTCGACGAGACTAGCTCACATCGCCTGGGCGGAGTGGCGCGCATCGAAACCCACTGTGTTGGGTCTCGGTATCCCAGGCATCCAATTCAGTCACCACCTACCTACCGCAAGCAGGGCAGGGGTTTGGAGTGCCATGGGATGGGATTGCAGGGTTGATGCTCTGCTCACCCGCCGTCTGAACCGTGATTCTTGCGACTGGGCGGCATGTCCCGTATCCTCGATGCTGTGGTCGGGTGTTGGATGATCCTGCTGGTTGGTAAGGCAATAATGAACCTGGTCAGAAGAAATACCGTGAAGAGCATCTCCTGTAACCCGGCTGCGTACCTTGCCAAAGCAAGCATGATGCGGAAAGCGACCACCGAACCCACCCCATCGAGATTTGGTCTTTGGGGGCCGTCAGCCAGCCGGCACAATCCAGTGAGCTCCGTCCCACACGGCTGGATCACCAGGGATCAAGCTGACTGCAGCGGATGGACTCGTCGGCATTGCTGTGGCACAGGCAACGACACTGGCTTGCAATAGTTGCGACGACAGTGAAATGACCTGCGCCAGGTCATTGGCATAAGCAAGGCGCACGGCGCAGGAGGGGCAAAATCACTCCTACCCTCGCACTGAGCTATGCGGTGCAAGTTCATGTCGTCAGGAGCCTCGCATTCCTGTTTCCTTACTTACCTAGGCACCTACCTTAGAGGTAGGTAAAGAAGCCTGCTAACGGGAATCGGAACACGCTCTGATATCGACGGCTAACTTGCACCGCAACGCACGTCGCCGAGCGCCCTGAGCTCAGTGATCGCGTGGTGCCTGTGTCTCCCAATGCCATGCGAACAAGCCGCACCACGCCTCACCCCTTTTCCTCCCCCTCTTCCTTTCCACGAGACAAATTGCATTTAACAACCTACCATCGAGCGTTCGAGCCGCCTCGCTGGCCGCCCTACGAGAAAACTCAGACAACCTCAGCGCCAACCCCCTTGAAGCCTGCAGCCCACGTCTCGTGTCCATGCAGGCAACGCGAATGTTCTACCCAGTACCTTGAGGAGAATGGACATGTCCGCGCCCCAGAAGAAAAAAAAACAAGCCAAGACCAGACATGGGCAAGAGTACGGCACCGTCGATGTGGACATCCAAGCTTTATTCTGCAGCCACAGAATTGTTGCTTTTCGCGTCCCTGCACTCCGGCCAGTCAAGTCGGGGCATTGTGGCGCAACGATGCATTTTCTGGCGGTTGATGCAATCCTCGTCCCTCCCCCCCCTTGGACCGGGACCCCAGCCGCGCCGGCATCGACCGGGAGCATACTCTGCCTTCCGTCGACTTGGTGGTCAAGGTACTTCCTGCTCGCAAGTAATGCAGATCACCCAGATCACCCGCCATTTGCGATATAGCATCTCTACTATGGGCCAGGATGACCGACCATTGCCTCGTCCGGCAAGCGAGCTCGACACCGGTCGAGACGGCCACGGCGAGAGACAGTATTAACTGCGTGTATGCTCCGAGTCTGAGACATGCAGATATTTCCATCCCTACCTATTTCACCAGGAGCCTGCAAGAGACAGACGCCATTGATTCATGCTTGGGATGCGGAATCCCGCCAACAAGGCGAGTGTGCCCCAATCTAGAGAACCCTTGCTACCTGACCATGCGTGCGAGTGGGCGTGCGTGACAATCCAGGGGACGTCTCACTCCTGCATTTGAGTGGCGTCTGTCTAGGCAGAGGAGAGTCGCGCATGGTTACGATAGAGGGATTGCGGTGACCTGCCGGGATAATTCAGACGAATGTTCACGGCGGAGGAGTGACAAGTCGCTCGACACCGCGTCTTCGTCTCCAGACTGCCGCAGGAGCCCTGGTCAATATCGGGACCAACGCTATTTCGCAAAGGCAGTCGGGAGTCTGAGCACTCCAACCTGCTCGGACAGTACTGTCGCTGTGCAATTGTTCGCTGTCGTCGAAAATGTGACGTGTAAGACACACACACACGAGCGTGGGAGGGGACTCCAAAGCTGCAGAGCATCGATTCCGAGCTCCTTATTGGACGGTTTACTTGGTTCGGATGGTTTTCGCCTGGCCCTGTCCGTCCACCCGTCCATCTCGTTGCTACCCCTTCTGCTCGACTTCCAGGTATGTTGCTGCGCGGTTTGCGTTCCGCTCGCTTCTTGGCGAGTTCAGGGCAGACAGGGTGCTCCGGGGGAAACCTGATATCCGTATCCCAACTCATGAAGATCTGAGTAGTTCCAAGGGGTCCGACTTGGCAAAGGCCTTCGTCATCTCCAAGAGCCCACCCCATGTTCAGGCCGACATTGCTGATCTCACACAGACGAGCGAATGGGCTGGCAGACAGCGACTTGCTCCACGCAGATCCGTGGGCTTGACGATCGACAGGGCCCTGGCCCGCCAAGTAGCTGGTGGGAGTGGTGGGGGCCGTTTACCCTTGCCCTCAGCTTGCATCAGGACGATGCGCCAAACCCTTCTGGGAGAAGTGCAGAGCAGCGACTCCCCACGGCTCAAATTCAACGAAGCGCATAACGCCCCGGGCAATCTCCCGCGGTGCCTAACGACACACACTGGCAGCCACCAGCAGAACCTTGCGCCTTGACCCGTTCTGTTCAGACGTTTCGTGAAGGAGTGGGCCACCCAATCGCTCCGGTGTACATGTATGATGTGTTGCCAGAGTGTGCAGGGTGAAGCTGCACAGGTAAAACATGGCCATTCACGAGCCTCCATCGAAGGCTGCGGGTTATCAGGATGGTCAATATCGCCCCGTCTGGCTGAAGACAGGCCAATTCATTTGGTCG